TAACATCTTTAATATGATTTCCGTCAATTTTAGCACATTCACATTTTATGCGTTCAAATAAATGAGTTGCATCTGTGGTTTTCATTGAGTACACCTTCTCTAGTGTACCCCAGAAAAAAAGTCGATTCTTTCTTCTTTCAATAAAACCATGTGTAATTTTTTCAGTTAAAAAAATATAGTTAATTAGATTTTAGGGACACCCTGTATATTAGACAAAATTTCTGATATATATATATATATATATATATATATATATATATATATATATTAACTGTTTCCGTATATGAAAACATTCAACATTCAGTGATCTAGCATTAAGTGTGATGTCGGTTGAAATTAATCAAATTTTTTTCTTAAAAGAAGTTTCAAGAATAAAGTTTTCTCAAGTTCACTGTTATCACTCTATTCAGTATTGATAGGGGTTTCCTTCCTAACCTTTTTTTGTAGTCGTGTGGAACATCAACGTCTTTATTTTGTCATCATTTTCTTTTAAAGTTATATGTGCTATCCATTTTAGTTGTTGAGGTTTTTGTAATTTGTAACTGTAAAACAATCCTTTGTGATTCTCTATCTCCAGTCCACAAAGTCTGAAGAAAGTTAATCCAAAACTACAAGTTTAATTCGGTGAAAGCTATTGTTCATCTTAGAATCCCGTTGTATACAGTTGCTAGTTTAGACATTTCTGAATAGGTTTGGCACCATACATACATACATATGAAACATTCGATCTGATGAGGCTATTTAAGAATAAGACTTGAGTTTTTGACTTAATGTTAGCTTAATTCTTTAATAACTTGCGTTGTTGGGTAGAACTGCCCCGAACGTAGCCTATAATTGGTCCACACTGCAAGGTATTTTAAATTGTAATATTTATTAATTCCACATGCTGAATTTTGATGATGAATTCTGGGTAAGTGTATCATTTCTTTCTTTCCATTCCCAAATCATAGTTTCTGTTTTCGGGAACGTTTGTGTTGAATCATATATTTTTGAAGACTTGGTAGAAAATATTGATTTTCTTTTTCTACACGTTCATCCTAGTTCCATCTATGAATATCCATATTATCAACATAGCCTTCTCATCCTTTGTATATTGGCTTCGGGAGTGAAAACAGGAAGGCTGTTTTCTATTGGTAGATTATTATTAGGATGGTGTGCTTAAATGATCAATGTTCATCACTTCAAATCTGTGCCTGTACATGCACAGAGCTTAGTCTAAGCAAAGACTAAATCGTCTGGGGCTCAAATTTCCTCCTTGTATTGCTACTGAGATTGAAAATGATCATGTTAGTGGAGTATTCATCCAACGTGTACGGGTTTTTGGACCGATATAATTGCTCTATCAAAACAAGGCATTCATTGGAGTTAAGAATTGGAAGACGTTTTTTAATGGATGAAAAGAGGAAGTCTATATTCATATGGTTGTACACCACGGTGATATCAATGAAGCAGGGATATGATTTTCTATAAGATATATACAATAATTATACTACTCACCAGAATGAATTGGGTCATTCGGAGTTGATTTTTATGGAATGCTGAGATTCTATTTAACACTGTTCAGTAGTACTTTTACGTTAATGGGTCCATTTAAGATACATATGTACTTGTGAGGGTCTTGGAGATTATCTTTTTGTTTCCATAGTGAATTAATGCACGATATACTACACTTCTTTGTGTGTGTTTTAGAATTTCGTAAGCCAATCGTTACTTTTCTGGAGAGGAAAAGTTATATATATATATATATGTGTGTGTGTGTGTGTGTGTGTGTGTGTGTGTGTGTGTGTGTGTGTGAACATATAAGTAAAATAAATTGATCCAAATAAATAAATAAAGTAAATAATAAACGAATTAACAAACCACTCCCGCCAAAATAACCGTTAGAATAGGCTACCCATAATGCAATAGACTACCCACAATGGACCACTGACCTGTGTATTTAAATAGACGAGAAAAAATAACACACACGGCCTGACGATTGCGTCTAGCAGCCTGTCGCCTCTAAGTGTTGACTTTAATGTTCACTTTTATATTTACATACGCTCTATCACTGATAGGGAACAATTTATTCCATAAATATTATCACACCTTGAAACTATATTTCTTCGTCACCCTATCGGCTCATGTGTAATTCTTCCTTCTTTTCTTTCTTTTATTTCGTTCCTTCCCTCAGTCACGCTTTGTCTCCCCCTCCCCGATCATTTTTAAAAAAAAACCTTATATTGAAATTTTTCTTTTTCTTTCTTCCTCTTTTAATGTTAATTTTTTTCATTTCTTTTTTCTTTTTTCCTATTCCTTTTCCTTTCCGCTGGATATTTATTTTAAAAAATCTTCTGTTGAAAGTGATAAATATTTGTATATTTATGAAATAAATTATAGCCAGCCGAATGCATTTTTAAGGATCGTCTGTACTCATTATATATATATATATATATATATATATATATATAATAAACACAATTTATTCATTACATTGTTTATTTATTCATTATATTATTTATTGAAATTGTTTACAAAACATCGGCTAATCGCCAATTGATTCAAACTTTATTAAATGATAAAAAAGTGTTTCTTTAGAGTTGAATTACATATTTTAATAAATTATTTAATTTTATACAAATTTATGAATGAGAACCATTTTTACGTTTATTTCTTTACAAATTGCTAAGTGATAAATATTGTATTGCATTAATTCTAATTTTATTCGTTTTTAGAATGTTGCAAATTATTCTTGTAATTAATCTAAAAAATAAACAGTGTTTCGTATTTTGTTGTAAATTCGATAGAATAAAAAATGTAAGAATTCATTTTCCTCATACACCCTTGTGCAAATTTATTGAAACAAAACGAATGATTCCATTATCATTTAATTTTATTTCTTCGTATTTTTCCAATGAAACATGACGCGGTACACATCTTAGTACTATGAATATCCATTCCACGAAGTCGTTCCTTGTAGACTGACCACAGATTCTCGGCTGGATTTAAATCAGGGGAGTTTCTAGGCCAGTCTATACTACTTTGATTTACTCACTGGGGAGGCTTGCCAGTGTGTTCGTGCAGCGTTACAATTTTCGTACGCTTCCTTAGAGTAACGTCCATCGTAAACAATGGCAGTAGGACAACTAATCGACAGTCGAGACAATAGTGCTTGGGCGTGATGAAACTCTGATGCAATCACGGATGACGCAATATTTTTCAAGGCCAAACAAATTTCATCATACACCCCGAAAACAGATTCATATTACTGCACACCACTGCAAAAGACCTAATCCGAGGAAAAACGGAAATCGATTACACCCTGTCATTCCAGTGGGTCCAAGACTGACCCTATGGTGAAAGAACGGAAACTAAAGCAGTTGTTTTTATTAATTTGCAGAAGGGTGTGTGTTTAGGCCTTATTCCAATTCTAATCATCTCTTTTTAGAACAATAAACATTGCCGGAAATGTAAGGTATTTATAAATACGGTGTCATACGAAAAATCGTCCTTTTGACTCTACGTCTTATTGCGGACACGTTTGTCCGTTTTTGATTTGTTGCCCTTACGTTTCTAACGCATTTTTTCATCATTTTTAGTCGAGTTTTGATAAGAGGAGGCACGGTGGAGTAATTGATAGCCGCTTGGATGGAGGAATCTGAGAGCCAAGTTCGAATTCCAGTCGAATCCATTACATTCACTTGCGTGTTAATACCCTTGGGAAATGTGTGAATCCTCTTCTTCTCCCTGCAGCTATGGGTAAATAGCAGTTCTATAGCCTTGGACGGCAACTGGTCTAGGAGAAGGAAAACTCTGAATTCAAAACCTCGTTTGGGGACCTTGCGGCACGTAGTGCACCAGGTCTCTGTAATCGGCCCTTCAAAAAGTGTGGATGGTCCAGCACGAAACCTTCACCTCTATAATCAAATCTCATGTGCTATACATGCGGGTTGGGGACCGTTTGTGAATTCCAAATTCCCATGAAACTCCACTATTGGAGCCGGCTCAACCCACCTGAGGGGGAGCGAAACTCTCTTAACGCCCAATTTGTTTACTTATTTTGTTGTATTAAATGTCAAAGTTAATTTTTTTCTTGTTTTTAATTCCAGATTTTAAATATCTCAGTTTTTTACGCCATAATGAAATACTATACTTCCAATAAAATCTTTCAAATTTCTTTCCTAAATGTTCACTTTATGCAAGGCCCAAGAACCCCTCGAGGTAGAGCGTTACGCAATGACGGTGCTGTATTGATGTAGGATTGGTAGGGCAGAGCAGTTACCTACAATAGGCAACGGTTAAGCATAGATTTGAAGAGGTTAAGGTTTTAGCGTTCAGAATAGCATCCACTTAGGAGTATGTTCCATAAAGTAGCGGCTCTTCTTTTTACCAATATATTTAAACCTAAACTTCTCCTACTGCTGTCTAATGAGAAAAAAGCAGAACGAATTTTTGAGTGATCCCATTGCTATTAAGATCTCTTTCCGGATTCTTACGGAAGGATTGGCAGGTGAAGAGAAGGAATTTTTCCCCTCATCGGAGTAGATGCTGAGGTTGTAGTATCTGTTCCGTACCTGAGACCTTCTCTCCTCCCTTGCTTCCCCCCCACACCGTTGCGTAACATCTGTTCCGTAACGGTGGTATTACCAGCTATAACTAACTTAGACAAGCTATGACCAGCTAAGACCAGATTAGACAAGCTTTGATCAGCTTAGACAAGCGAAGCCCAGCTTAGACAAGCGAAGCCCAGCTTAGACCAGCGGCCCGAGTGGAAACATTCTTGTCCCCACGTTAAAAACTAACCATGTGTTACTACCTGAATTAGTGAGGAGGGTAAGGTAAATCACAACCATTGATTTTAAGATTTATTTAAAACGCTTTACTAATAAAATTGTTTCAAAACAGAAGGAATTAAAAAAAAATACACTTATTTTACATTTACAGGCTACAAATTATTCAAAAAGGAAGTGGTGTCTGCCCAGAACCAATACAGGGCGGGACATGGTTGTCCTGAGTTGATCATGATGGAAGAGTTAGGGCGGGATGCGCAGAAATGGGCCAACACGATCGCTGACAAAGGATACCTTCAATACAGTGAGACGACAGGTACGTATCTTTGAAATAATATGCTAGAACCGACTTTCTTTAAAACGAATTTGTCATCAGAGTTTACTCAAGAATTAGTAAGAAACAGAATGTTTTAAACCGATCTACTCATTGTCGATGTAGGTATATATTAAGTTGAACTTAATTTGATATAAGGCTATGTGTGCGGAGTTCTAGATGATAAGCGAACTCACCATAATAATTGATATGTCCCGTAAAGTTATATATTTGATCGAAGTAGCTAAGCGGTTTTGGCTACTGTAACCAAGTAGTACACGGTAGCAGTAATCGACTGGTACTCGTCGTAGTCGCAGGTAAGAAGTGTAGACCAATAGAATAGCCAATGATGTAGTCCAATGGGCGTCGTCATTGACTTAAACTTTGTCGTACCTACACGTCCGTCTGTATTTATGACGAACACCAGCCAATCATATTCCAGTGAGGGGAAACTCAGGTGTATGCATATTCCATTATATCAATAATACAGGATAAGACACGAAAGTTAAACTTTTTTGCACAATGAAGCCTCTTCAGCCTACTTAATAATTTTAATTTGAGTTAAAAACCTTTTCGGTGTCAACGGAAAAGTGTTGAAATTGGACTGAGAGACACAGTTGGCTCGTACAATAGAGCCAAGTGAACATGTGTGGTTTTTGAACACCCTGAATATTTTTATACATTTCATCTCAAGCAAAGCGAGAGTGCCACTAGCACTCAAGGGGTCACAGAGAGTGAGAACAAGAATAAAGGGAAATGTTTGAGGAATTGATACAGAAAAGAACAGGGATCAGGATGAAGGCATCAGATGTCGATTGACATTACATTTGAATATTTGAAGATTATAGTTATCAGGGAAGCAAGTAAGAGGAAGGGAGATCCACTGACGGGAAGTGCGAGAGAAGAAGCTGTTGGAGTAGAAGAGGCGGTTACATTTAACTGTTTCAACAGTGAAAGTGGGAACTGAGTTGCCAACCTAGTAGCACGCTTAAATTCATGCAGTCGGGGCACCAATGAAAGTAGCTCGTCAGAGCAGTAGCCAGGAAAATATTTGTAGAAAAGACAGAGGGAAGCCACATCATGTCAGTGAGAAAGAAACTACAGACGAGATGCCAGGTTATGAGCTATCACATTGCATATCCGTCTTTAGATTTTGTCGGGGGCACCAGACCATATATGGCAACATTATTCAACGCAAGGACGAATGGTAGATTTGAAGGTTGGACTCAGAGGAGAACAAACATTTTAAGCTCAATTATGGAACTGTAATGGCACTCACTGTGCCTTTTTGGCTTCACGTTTTCACCTGAGATGAAGTGAATATTATTTTCAGTCAGCTTCTAAATCTGCCGCTGTTAAAGTCTGTTCACTATGCCGTGCGAAAAGATGTTCACGCCAGAATCTATCTTCTGTCTATCTTTCTGAGATAATTTACTGTAACTATTTACATTATTTACAATATTCGGACTGCTTTCCTCATCATTGTTGGCATATTCACGACGTCTCTGTCGTTGTACGATCCAGCCTTCTTCGGGAGATATACGTTGGAACATCGAACCGAACTTTTTATTTGGCTCACGGGGATAGACTGGACTTGACCCAAAGAGTTGTGAGTTAGACACCTTGACACAGCAAAGGTGTACAAAAACTTGGCGAGTTGAGTTACTCAAGAGAAATAACTGAAACAGAGATATCCAGAAAAGACATGGCACGTGGAACTAGAACAATCTACCCCAGCTGACGAAATGAAGGGTGCGATTCGAAATTCCAACGGATATCAAAAGGCCGGAGCGTACAATCGCTGAAACGTTGTGAATATGACAATAAAGATGAGGATAAAAGTCTGGACAATGTAAATAGTGTAAATAGAATCTATCTTACATATTTACAAGTGTACCCATTTATCCGTTCATCGAATATTTATGCATCATCACGTCTAGTGATTCTAGTGTTCTTGATAACGCCCAAAGAGAAATGTAAAACGTCATAGATCTTGACTTGATAGATCTCGATTTCAGTCATATTTCTACCGCCAAAAATATTTTGATAGTGAAATCAAAATATTTTTGGCACCTGAAGGAAACAAATAAGACACCAAAAGTTAAATGGAAAATTATTGACAAGGCTAGAATATGTAAAGCTTGGGATGAACCATGCCCTTTGTGCCTTTATGAAAAATTGCACATCATTAAACTTCTAAATAATAATAATCTATTTAATAATAGACACGAGTTAACGGTTTTTTGTAGGCATTATCAGATTTTTGGTTTGAATTATTAGATAAAAAAATTTATATAACTTGTTTAACAAATAGCCCAATCATCAGATTCATAGTAGGAATAATTAACTACAAACATGCATACTACATAACACACTTCATAATCCATAGCGTAAATTAGTAGTTTAAATACCTTACATATAAGATAACCCTTTATGAAGTCGTCAAAAAACAAACGTTACGAAAGTTTTTCTTTTTTATATGCACAATTCCCTTTCATAATAAAATAAAATAAATAAATAAATCTCCATAGACAAGCAAACTAGACGATGGCCAATACATCTTCCGTTTCATTTTTGACACCCCTACCTTTCCCCGACTTGACACCTTGAAAGTATCTCTATATCGCTACTTATTATAAACACCCTACACTCGCCTACCCAATTTAGACAATTCACCATAGCTGTTACCATGGGGATTTTGATTTCAATTTTAAAACAAGTAAATTTCAGATATACGTTATTCAACAAAAATTTCGCTTGAAGATGGAACGGAGCCCATTTTACTTTCAACTCAATTTAATTTAAAGGATTATATTGAAGTTTTTCGGCTCTTGTTTTGAAACATGAGACCTCTTATGTAGCGATTTGGAATCATATTTTAAATAAATAATTATATTTATGCTCTACTTTTGTATCGAATACTATTTTTTAAAAATAATAACTAAAATATTAAGGGACTTTGGATTATTTACCTAACCAGTTCCTTCTTATTTTCTATATATTTTCACACACACACACACACACACACACACACACACACACATATATATATATATATATATATATATATATATATATATATATATATATATATATATATATTCATCCACACTTTTAGACTGTTTCGCTGTATCACAGCTCATATATATTTAATTTCAAAGCCGGATCAAAAGTGATAATTAAAAATGATTTCTCGTGCGACTCAGAGAAGTTAATATACATAATTACATGCAAAAGTTGCCACGAACATTACATTTGTCAAACCGGTCAGTCACTCCGCCAAAGGATGACTGTTCATTGCCAATAAATTAGGGACCCACACACCAGAAAAATATCCCTTAGCCAACATATAGAGGAATGCGGAGGACAAAATTTGCCAAATTTTAGTGTCTTCCCATTCTACCAGTGGGACTAAAGAACCACTGATCAAAGGGGGGTTAATAAGGAAACATTTTTCATCAACAAGTTCAAACCAATTCTTAATTCATTGCATAAATAGATTCTACCAATTTCTCCTTACCATAAACGACATATATTGCCAGTTACACCCCTTGATTTTTTTTTCATTTGTTCAAGACATAAGCATCAACACGTGGAGATAGAAACAGTTAAAAACTTTTTGAAAAGCTAAGCGAAACCGGTTAAAGTAAAAAAGTATGAAAAAAAGAGAAACAAAATACTTTTCTAAAAAACATCGCTGAAAATCCAATTGTAAATAAGAAAGTTTTAATTTTAATTCTTCTCTGTAAAAGTTCATATATTATAAATAAATATCAGTATATTAAATATTAGGCACCTTTTTTTCCAATTCTCATTTTATTCTACACAACAAGTTTTTGCACAGAATCTTTTAAACAATTTTTTTACATATATATATATATATATATATATATATATAATTATTTATTTAAAAAATTATAACATAAATATGTTATAAAATCACTACAAAAATAGCCATTTTGTTTCAATACCCCCGGTGTCTTATCAAGTGATGATGTTGAGTGTAAAATAAATGGTTTTAAAAGTTTCAAATTAATTAACGATCCTTCGCAAGGGGAAAACGTTGTTACAAAAGCTAGAATGACCAATCAAAATACAAGTATAGGAAAATTCAAAAAGCTTGATAACGAAGTCATGTTATAATAGCTATTCAGATCTTTAAAATAGGGGTAATATTAAAAAAGAATTTATTCTAACCAATAATTATTAAATTATAGGATAAAATTTGATATTAAAATTAAAAGTAAAAATTACCAATTTTAAAATTCAAATTTAATCACTAAAAATTTTAAAATTATAAAATTGCTCAGGAGGAAAGAAGAAATACATATGTTATTCAATTTATTTCTTCATTGAAATTACGTTAGAATAGACGCTTATCTGTCATCCGGTCCTCTGACAATATGTATACATTTTAATCCCAAGTGTGTGAATGGGGTCAGTTTCGTTAAAGAAGACTGGCAAAGTAATAGGCGTTCATACAAGCGCTTACTTTCCTGAACACAAATAATATTAGTTCTTTGTAATTTTGAATTTGCCGGTGTGTTCTTGTTGCAGAGAAACAAAATTATTTACGAGTTCAAATGCCTCTTAAGAAATCGTGTCCCTGGTAAAACCAAACACATAAATAATTATGTTGATCATACCACTACATGCCTATCTAGACGACCATAGATACACAGAATGTACTACTGAGCAACATATTGTATAAATTGACGAACCAAAGCACAACACAGAGGCCCTGAAGATTTTGTTCAAACATGAAAGAAAGCGTTGCCACTCGATATTGACCTCAGTAGACAGTAAAGTAGGAGTGTTCAGAATGAAAGACAAACCTGTTTGTGTGAATATGTGTTTATGTGTGTGCCTTATATTAAAAACATTAATGCCTGCTAGATTTGTCCTTTCAACCTGACCTAAAGACGCTTACTTAACGAAGGCTAAAAGCGTTTCTCAATAAAAACCTTTTACACTATTTAAATTGTTCTCATCTTTGTTGCCAT